ACTTCTGTTGTCCTTTCAGTTTTGGGATTTAAGCTGTAATTGTGATTTCAAACCACAATATAAAGTCCAATGAACTCAAAGTCTTGTAAAATTTACACAAATACATTTGCTGCATTGGATGAATATCGATTGTTGCTTAAATATCCAGTCATTAACATATTGCTTATAGCCAGCTCTCTGTCATTGGGTGAGAGGGTAACACTCTGGATGGGTCGTCAGCTCATCACAAGCCAGGCTTAAAAATCATCAATGAATATTTGTGCAATATTTGTGGGTTTGTTACAGGCTTGCATATTGTGTGCACTTGACCCTGTCTGTCTTGTATTGCCAATAAACAGAGTTATCTGCTTCATCAAGTGTCAGCATAACTACGTATTTTTACAACAGGATTACTATTGCAACAACACATTATCAGTCGGGTAAAACTAACCTGTCTCGCCACAGTCTAAGTCCTTCTCTCATTCCCTATTAGTGGGTGAACAATCCAACCCTTGGATGAATTCTGCTTCACAATGATAGAAAGAGCCGACATCGAAGGATCAAAAAGTCGCTCTGAATGCTTCGCCACCACAAGCCAATTCTCCCTGTGGTAACTTTTCTGATGCCTCCTGCTAAAAACCCAAACAGTCAGAACAATCGCGAGGCCCCGGTTCCCCGGTCTATTGTCATACTGAAAATCTAAATCAAGATTATCTGCTTCATCAAGTGTTAACATAAATACATATTTTTACAACAATTTCTCCCCGTACAGGCTGATCAGAAATGTCTGCAATTCTTGGAAATGTTCTGCGGTCCTGTACACAACACAATTAGCTCAGCAGTGACCCCAGAAAGTCTGAGAACGTATATGTGCAGGAGATGCTCTGATTTAAAAGGATGTTCAGGTCGCATTAGCTCAGAGTATGCAGCTCTGAGCTAATGAATAATTTCTGAGGGCAGCAATTACCACTAGAACCACATGACTCAAAACATTACCTGCTGGCAGTTGGACAAGTTGTCAAATCACTGAGCATATCTAATGATTGATGAGTCGATGTGTTTAAAGCTGATTGAGCATCTATTTGTGATGCTTCTGACCCTTCTGTGCTGATAATATTTAAAAATGTGACGATAAATGGATCTGGCATTTGCGTCACACCGGGGTCATGTGTGTCACAAAGATATCCAACATGCAGCATAGCGAACAGCTCGGCTTTCTCTGCTCAAAAATGGCTGTAGTTTCTATTAAAAGGCGTCCTTGGATGGTATTTGATTTGTGGGATCCCTTGATTTGTGCTGTACTCACTTCATTCGGTGTGATGTTTTTTTTAGCCAAACAGAAGAGGGAGTAAAAGTCACAGGACGTCAGATGTTGTTGTTTTACAAGAAGCAGACCCTGAGAATAGATCAAATGAGCTTGCATCTAATTCCTTTGTCATGTTTGAACCTTTTTGGGCCTCATGGGAATTTTCTAGGATGAGGTCAGAGGTGATTCTTCATGATGACATGCTAGTTAAACACACTTTCTCCTTTGCTTCTCTTATGTCTTCTGCCTCTGGACTTTGGACAGTAACTTTGAAGAAAGTTGAGGAGTTTGAGTTGGATCATTTCTTTGCATATACACAAAAAGAAAATAGACAAAGTGTTTTATGAGTTTTTTTGGAGAGGTAAACAAAATGTTTATTTATTTCAGGGCTCAGATGTTGAGCCACGTTTTCAACTCTTTGTATTTTTTTCTCGATGGACATGCTGAACCCCTTTGAATAATGCCTCGTCTATAACAGCCATTGTTGTAATAAATACATGTAAAAGGATTTACACCTTTGGAAACCTACGGACAGCATAAAACATACAAAAGGTGGAACAACTGTGAAAATATAATTTGACAATTACCTACAAAAATATCCTATTTCATATATTTTGTAACAACCCTTCTAGCTCCCTTCAAGCCAAATTTCATTTGTAGCTGCCCTTTAAAGCTCAAACAAAGCAATAAAAGAACCCGTTTTAATAGCTGGCTATCTTTCATCATATGTGCATAACAACCTGCTTGATATGACTGCACAGAATATCTTGGTTCCTCAGGTAATAAAATAATGGGCAAAAATTATAAAATTATATTGCTTCAGATGATTCATGTGTTAGAGGACACTGGTTACCTGAGGCAGGATTTTTCTCCATTTTACAATGGAGATAAACCCTCTAGGCAGGTGTCCACATACGTAGATACGTAGTGACATGAGCCCTTCTTATGACCTTTACACAATGTTTTTGTTGTTTCACTTTCACAGCAAAAGGTAGAGAAAAAAGAGGCTTGATAAAGTGAATCCGCCTCCTCTTTCACTATCAAATTCCCTGGAACTGCTTTTTAAGGTTTCATCTCACCGTTGCCAATGTTCTTCTTGAGTCTCCACATAACTCACTCTCAAGAGTGAACACAACCGTGCACATATCTGCAAAAGCTGGCTTTTATACAGCTTCAGATGGGTTACAAATCCCAGCCCAATAGCCTTGCAGCAGATGCTGTTATGTTAAAAAAAAAAAAAAAAAAAAATATATATATATATATATATATATATATATATATATATATATATATATATATATATATATATATATATATATATGTATATATATGTATGTATATTTTCAACTCTGAACTGGTGATCTGGGTGTGTTAGGCAGACTCTTTCTTGTCAGCTGTAATGTTTTTTTTTTCTCTTTTACAGCCACGTCCAATATGGTGATATTATTTTTAAGTCCCCAGCAATTATTATCCATGTATCCAGCTAGAGGGTATATATCCCTCTATCTGTCTGTCCCAGCTGCACACATCTGATATAACTGAGAGAAAACAGATAAAACTGCAACAGGTATAACAGGCGGATTCAGTGTGGCTGCAGAGAATGACCCCAGATTACACTGCATGAATAATGGAAGAGCGATTGTGCATATAAACAACAGTGGGCTTCGCCTTGAGACAGAAACCTGGACAACCATTCCCTAACATTGTAATTGGAAAAGAATGCGAGACCAGACGAGTTGGTGACTGAACCTTAATTTATTTCTTGAAAAGTAATTCTTATAAATCAGTGGTGGAAAAGATTAGGATTTTGCATGACTTAACCCACTCTGGTGATTATATTCCACAATTATATATGTGTATGCATGTGTTTTTTTCTGTATTGACATTTTCAGTCATAATACTTCAAGTTAAGAAAGGTTGTCTGTATTATTCTGATACTAAAAAGTATCTAATCAAATTGGTTAAATAGATAAAGTTCATGATGGTCTCGAAAATCTAAATCATTTATCTACAAATCTACTCGTATATTTTGCAGTATTCAAGGTATTACGTCTATTTAACTGGTACTAATGTGCAGCAAGAAGTTAGGATTTTGACTTTAAGCATATGAGATGAGATCAGCTTTCCAAGGGGTGCTCTGCTCTGAAGAAGGCCACTCATAATCTTGGGTTGACATATCAATAGCGAAATTGTACTTAATCCTTGTGTTGTCTGTCTTGCAAGTCAAAAGTGACCCACGAGCAATTTTACCTGGCAAAAAAATACCCGAAACGATCTTTTTCCGACTTGAAATTTAATGGCTTTTTCTAAATTTACCTCATCATTAGGAAAAGTGATACTTTGTTTTTGTTTATATTTTGATGTGGGCTGTACACCACCAGGGCACAAGGATTGTCTTATGGGTCATTTTGGACCCGTGAATTATAAAAGCATTTAAACACCAGAAAAAGAGTTCAAAGGCCACACACAAACTCTCTCCTGTACACGCATACACCACTCCACACACGTGTTGAAGATGTTCTAAGAGTGTCTTCATATAGTGAAGAACATCTTCATGCTATGGAGATTTCCTTGAACATCTCGTGTTGAACATTTTGTGTTCAGCGTGGAATGTTCTTCATCTTATCTCCAACCTGGGGGAGGAAGGATAGGATGATCTTTGTTTTACGTTGAAGATGTTCAACACCTTACGTTGAACAGAAAATGTTCTTTATCTTCTATTGAGGATGTTCAGCATAAGGACCTCTTCATGAGATGAACATCATCTTGTGAAGATGTTCTTCATCTTATGTTCAACACCTTAAGTTGTGAAGATGTTTTTGTGTTGAACATCTCATATAATTATGGGATAAGAGCTGATGTTAAATTATTCATAAAATCAAGCAACATTTTTTGTGTTATGAGAGGTATTTTGATAATTCATTAACTAAAAAGTATTAAGGAATGAACTTTTGATTAAAAAGCTCCAAATTGTTGACTTTGTGTTCCCTTTCAGTCTAATTAATTCAGAAGTAATAAATTCACACTTATATAATTACAATAATAAACCTTTACTGTGTAAAACACAACTGTTAAAACAATTTGTGGTAAAAAAAAAATGTTGTAATACTGTTGATCGTCTTTTTGCACTGTATGACCAAAATACATGATAGATGATTAATTAAATTGAGTTGAACTGATAAATAACAGATTGTTTCATCATGCAAAATAGACTATGGATTTAAAATTCAATTCATTTGATTTATTTTGGGGCTTTTGTTAGGGCGCATCATCGCGCAAGGGTTAAAACACAAAAAATGGACGAATAATCAATAACACGGGTAAATTTGTGTTTGTTGTGAACTCTTATCTCTTATTGTAAATACATTTTAAGGAAACAGTGTATATGTATAACTGTCGGGTTGGATTAGTTCAAAGTTCAGTTGTGCAACTAATACATTAAAAAAACAAGAAAAACAAATAGGCTACACCCAATGAAAACAAGGCAAAATGCACAGAACTTAAACTGAGTGTGCTGAACTTTACTTTGTAACTTTTCCTTTTAAACTTTGCTAAATATTTCAAAAAACAACACCAGGGACAGATGAAACACAACCACCCCAGGAGAAATGGCATGCAGGGAATGTTATCTGCTCTCTCTCTCTTTCCGTGCTCGGGTTTTGAAGATGGGCTGGTACTCGCTGTGATGTCACCCCACTCTTGTGAGAACATTCATTCCACCCGCAGCGTGGCTCGCCATCTCCTCTCCAAAGAGAAACAGAAGCAGCCAGCGTTGCGCAGGGCACTGTGACAACGAGGGAGCGACTTTGTTCACGTTTTTTCTTTATGTTCAAGATCGGGTGGAAGTGCCAGAACTGTGTTCACGAACTTTCATGCAACACATGCTATTTCAGGAAATCGGTGTCGTTTGCAGCTTTGAAGTGTGATGCGCCGCGTTTGTTCTGAACAGGAGCTTTGCGCACAGCGGAGCACCGATCCGTAGCGACGCAGCGCAGGGTGCCCAGCCTCGGTTCTTTTAAGAGGGAGAAAATCTATCAAAATGATCCGAAAGAACAGATTTCAGCCAGAATGGATTTGATGGATTTAAATGTGTTGCTGGAAAACGTTTCCAGGAATGGCAACACCACCGACGCACCGCTCTCACTGCCGTACCCGGAGGCAGCCACGGCACTCATCATACTTGTAGTTATTGTTATGATTTCTGTGACTATTGTAGGCAATGTATTAGTAATTGTCGCGGTTTTGACCAGCAGGGCACTCCGTGCGCCACAGAACCTTTTCCTGGTCTCCCTGGCGTCGGCGGACATCCTGGTTGCCACGTTGGTCATCCCGTTCTCCTTAGTCAATGAGGTGATGGGTTACTGGTTCTTTGGAAGTACTTGGTGCGCCTTTTATCTGGCTTTGGACGTGCTGTTTTGCACCTCATCCATCGTGCACCTGTGCGCCATCAGTCTGGACCGCTACTGGTCAGTGACAAAGGCTGTGAGCTACAACCTGAAGCGAACGCCGAAGCGCATCAAGTCCATGATCACTGTGGTGTGGGTGATATCTACCATCATCTCCTTCCCCCCTCTTCTCATGACCAAGCACGACGAGAGGAAGTGCGAGCTGAATGACGAGACCTGGTACATCCTCTCCTCCTGCCTGGTGTCCTTCTTCGCTCCGGGTCTGATCATGATTCTGGTTTACTGCAAGATCTACAAAGTGGCCAAGCAGCGCTCGTCCACCGTGTTTGTGGCCAAGAACGGCCTGGAGAGAGAACCTTCCCAATCGGAGACCTGCTTCGTCAGGAAGGACCGGTTCGAGGCGGAGAGCCCCAGCAGCTTGAGCTCCGGCAGCCATCAGCAGAGGCAAGGCGAGTTGGACGACATCGACCTGGAAGAGAGCTGTTACTCCTCCGACACCAAACCCCGCCATCATCGCTTCACCAAGCGCAGGAAGGTGGAGGGGTCGGAATGCTGCCCGCCGCAGAGCTGCCGTCTCTCGTGGGCCTCGGCCCGGGCGTCACAGCCATACCCGGAGCAGAAGAACCCCGCCGAGCGACAGCAGCTGGCCGCGGCCAACAAGACCAAAGTGGCCCAGATGCGGGAGAAGCGTTTCACCTTCGTGCTGGCGGTGGTGATGGGGGTGTTCGTGCTCTGCTGGTTCCCCTTTTTCTTCACCTACAGCCTCCATGCGATCTGCAGAAACAGCTGCACCATCCCTGACGCACTCTTCAAACTTTTCTTTTGGATTGGCTACTGCAACAGCTCGGTGAACCCCATTATTTACACTATTTTTAATAGAGACTTCAGAAAAGCCTTCAAGAAAATCATATGCAGAACTTCAAAGCGCACATGAAGGGGGATGCTATTTATATTTTGCCTCACTCACTCATTAGTAAAGAGAATTGGAAATGTGTAGAGATGCACCAATCAGGTTTTTTTTTTTTCAGGCCGATGCTAATTTTTGATTTTCTTTGAGATCCAACATGCCAGTTCCATTTTTTTTTTCCAAAGAGAAATAACACATTAAATAGTAAAATGATTCACCGACTGGCCTTTTTCTGGCCAACATTGTCAGGCTGTTGCTGGAATTTCAGATTTTATTTGGGATCTGACCTGCTGGTTCCAGTTTTTACCAATTTTATTTTTCCACAATTTCTTAAAGAGGGAGCTCATTTTACTAATTAAATTAAAAGTAAAATGACATTTATGTAATTTTTTCCCCCCAAAGTATAATATGAAAGTTTATGCTGTTTAGGCTTGTGGTTTATACATTAAAACTAATGTTAGATCTCGATTTTGATATCTTTAATGGAGGGAAAAACACATCCAAAATTTCATCATCTGATCTGCGGATAAACAATTCAACTTTCATTACCGATATCAATGTCCACTCACCTGTCAATGACAATATTTTACCAAATCTGATTTATTTTTCTGAAGGAAGTAGTGCAAGTTCTTAAAAAGTCTTGGACCTCTCTCACCCATTAGTATGAGACATGAAAACACTATTAAAGCACATTTAAATAGATTTTTTTACTGTCTTGAGTTACTAGTTTTGTCTTTCAGCTTTCCCCTATATAAAATAAATATGTAGTAAATTCTATAAAATAGATATTAGTTTGGAATCCAACAGAAGGAATTTCAAACCTTTTTCTATTTATTTTTAAAAGCCTCTGTCCCTATTATGTCTTAGATATGTTTACACTTGAAAAAAGTGCATCAAAGTACATTTTGTTGGTTGCATTTCTAGGTTGAGGGTGGTGAACAGTTAAACGCACCACTTTTGGTGCGTTTAAAGGAAAAGAAAACATAATTTTTAGCATTTCAAATTCTGATCACCAATTAGAGCCTATTAAGAAAAAATTAGCCTATTGATTGGTGCATCTCTAAAAATGTGTTACTGTGACTCATTAGCCCAGTGTACTGCTGCTTCATCGTTTTACTGTAATTATACTGAAAAAAACACAATTCATTGTATTTACTGTATATGAATAAAATTTATTTGGTGGAGCATATATAATATTAGTTAAAAGGTAGTAATCTCATATTTAGGCTATTCTTTCTTAGGTATGACAAATTTTAGGTTGCATAAGAAATCTTGAACACCTCCTTATTTCACCAAGTGGGTTGGAACAGCATACAGGCAGAATATATTTAGAGTAAAAATGTGAAACTACTGATATGAATTCCAGTGCTGACTGGGTTCAAAGCGAGCGTTCTGTGTTTTCATAAATACAAGAATAATCTTCACCATCTTTTGCATGCAAGACTGGCAGCTGGCAGGCGAGCTTGAATGTATGTATCTGGAGGATGAAAGGATGGTTTAAAAGGCAGCATTTAAACTTCCCCATGTTGAGGCTAATTCATAAAGGTGCATCTCTTTGTTTGTTTCTGCAAGCCACCTCAGCCAATTCTGCACAGGAAATAGTCAAACTTATGTAAGAGTCTTTTCTCACCCTCTCTCCACGCCGTCACACTGTATCATGCTTGAACAATGGCCAGATAGGAGGCTTGCGGGAGCAAAAATGAAATACAGACATTTTCACATTTGGTGTCCTTGCAGCAGCTTAATATTTGGCCAGTAAATATTTAAACGGATTGGGGTCTCATCTCTCCCATAAAACCTGCTCTCACAATCATGACAGGTGATCGTTTCTTTTACTCCGGAGTAGCACATCGACTACATACTTACTATTTTCCATCATATACCATCTTTAAATACAAACAAGAAAAGAAATGACACGAAAAAATTACTCATATAATCTACATTTTCATCTGTTTCAAATAATTAATATTGACATGACAAAGTTCATGGAAAGGGCAAGTGTTTGTTTATGTCAAGCTTTAAACTTGTCCACACTTTTTTTAAACTGTGGTCAGCCTCATATATCATTGGCCTCTTGAGTAACGGCCTGTACTTCTCTGGGAAAGTACTACTTAGTGAGAGGAAGACTGGCCACTTCCATATCTCTACCATTGTCTACACGGCAGTGCTGAGGAAAAATATACTATTTATATCCTACAAGGAATGTCTTCAAAGCACTCCTACAGCTCAATGGCACCTCGCCAAAGACAATCACTCCGTCTTAGGGGTGTCGCGTCTGCAAGGATATTTTTCTCTTTTTTATTCATGAGTTTTTTAAATAAAATATCAAGAAAAAAGGAGTGAAGGTGGCTGCACATTTGATTTTCTTTTACTTTTGAACAAAGATTAAAAAAATAAGAGGCCTCCTTGACTGCTTTGAGGAAGGAAACCTAATCTCTGAGGGGTTCACAAACTCTTGAAACAAATGAAATGTCTGGGCAACCCACACTCGGAAGACGGAGTTAAATTAAAGCCTCCAGATTTCTGCAGTGGAAGAAAGGCAATGTTTAATTGCCTGTAACTTATTGGGACGCTATTGCACGCTTGCTGTCACCTAATTTCTCCAGAGGATGCAGTTATCAATTTGTGTTTCATTTACCAAGGTGGAAAATGTTTACATGAACGCTCATTTGTAATTTTCTGACTAATACACTGATTAGCATCCGTCATGACAAGGCAGTTCCCTTGTTGGATCTCACATCCCATTTCAATTGTCTTTTTAATCAGATGCTCCAGTGCAGCAGGAGCAGATCATGTCTCCTCAGACAAAAACCTGTTTTTATCTGGAACCCACGCATGTTGTTTTATTTAGCGCAAATTTTATTTCAGGGTAAGTTGTAAAATCTAGTCTTTCCAGGCATAGTTTGCTCAGCAGTGGCAGTTGTTCAATAATATTTTCCTGTGTGAATGTGGGTCTTTATGTTGCACGTGCATGTGGCCAGGGGCGCCGCCAGGAGTCTTGGGTCCCATAACAAACAATTTTAATGGGCCCCTCCACCCAGCTGCTGTTATAATTTCCATCAAAAGCATCACAATTTTAAAGGCTTGCAACGGCTTTGCTTTTTTTGGTTCAATACTGATACCAGCACAATATTTGGGGCTCGTGAATTTTACATGATATATGTTTTCTCCATATTTCAAATGTCGTGACAGTTTGTTATAAGACAGATAAACATTTAATTTTGACTGCTATAAACCTTTCTAGAAAACACAATAGGATTAATTTTGTAATTGATAGGGTCCCATTTTCTTTTTTTTATTTCTCTGAAAAAAAAAAATAAATAAATTGCAGAAGGCCCCCTGCCGGTCATAACCATCCACCAAACATACAGGAGACCAGATAGGAGAATCATTTCTCCAGTCCAATTATGTTATGTTGAAAGGAAATGAATCAGATGTTCATTAAGTGGAAATCATGTGTTCCTGCCTCTATATTTCATCTGATATTTTTTCCAATACTGACTGGTAAGATATTGTCCCTGAAAATACATTAAAATCAACTAAATCAAACTATTATTTACAGTTTGACATTACCAAAATTATGGTGCCCCCTCATATATATTTTCTGCTTTTGTTGATTTTTTTTTTAAATCACTCAAGTGTTTCACACCAATGAACCAATTTTAAGATAAAACTATCACCAGTTTAAATACAAAGTAAATAAACAAACTGTTTTTTAGGAGAATAGAACAATTCCATCCAAAAAGGAACCACACTCTATTAAAATCATGAATGTATAGCTATTAACCAAATTTTTTTGAAAGTTGAGTTTAAGTACACACAGAGAATATGGTTTAAGTTTGACCTGTAGAAACAAGAAACTATAATAGAACCTGCCTGATGAAGCAAGATAAAATACTGAAAAAGCAACATTCTTCCAAGAACTTGTACAAGCAGAAGAGAAACAATGTCACAGACATCTGTTTGCCTCATTGGTCTCAGTTAAGGTCAATGTTCATGATTCAAAAATAGGAGGGAGAATGGATAAAAATGGTATCCACAGGAGAGTTATGAGGAAACTCCATCATCATCAAACAGAAAAGCAAACAAAAGCTCAGTGATTCCAAGATTTTTTAAAAACCATTTTGGAAACCAATGCTAAAAACAAAAATCCTGTTTGACTTGGCATAAAATCAACGAGACATTTTAAAAAGAAAACATCATAACATCAGTCAAAGATGGGGAAGATGTGACAACTTATGGTGATTTCTGGCAGAGGTTTTGAATCCCATGCCTCAAGAGCCATACAGTGTCCTGCAACTTTGAGATGTCTCCCTGGTCCAAATGATAATTACCCTATCAGCATGCAGGCAATTTCTCCAGAATCTTGCTAATCACATTATTATTTACCACAGTGCTTGGACTTGAAGTCCCCTAGTTCAGAGACTGATTTTGCTGCTTTAGTATATGAACAAGTTGCCATAATTGATGGCTTGTGCTGCAGGACAAGGATCCAAAATCTCACCACCATATCCACCTCTTAATGGCTCCAAAGAAACAAAATTAAGGATTTAGAGTAGCCTAGTTAAATTTTGGATTTAATTTTGACTGGGATGCTGTAGCATCACCTTAAAAATAAATTTGTAAAAATGACAGAATTAAAATATTCAAAATTCCTGTTTACCTTGATAAATAAAGTCCTCATTTCAAAACTGGTTATCTTTGTAACATTTTAAAAAATACTTTAATTGTCTAACTCATGCAATCACCAAATATTTTTTGATTTATTCAATTGAAGTTAGTTTTTGTTTTATAAGGCTGCAGAGATATATAACAAAAACTAAAGTAAAACTAGATGCATTGACTGAGGAGCTGAATAAGCTAAAATGTTGACAAAGCTGAAGATGACGAGAAGATTTCCCAACTTTCCAGAAATCTAGTACATAAAAGCAATAATTCTTGATATGGTTATTCATTAACAGAACTTTTTCAGAGGAAGAGCCATTTTCTTATTTGCTTGTTGTCCTGTACAATTAACAAAATTTGTGTTGAAATTTAAAAGTTAAACTATACAGTTTACAGGTAGAATCCAAAGAATTAAGTGCAACTAGTTGAAGGGTGAGAAAATGAGAGAGGAGAATGCAGAGAGAGCAGAATAAAAAATCTGAGAGGCTATTATTGCATAAAAAGGATCAAAAATTGCATTTATACACATTAATTTGCTGTTGTGGGGGCTTTCCTAGTTTTCATTCTGTGTAATTCTCTCACTGTATCTATGTATGTACCAACTATACACACTTGGTAGATAGATACCTAACGCCCCTTTTTTTTATTATTGTAGGTAAAAGAAAAGTTCGATAGATACTCAGGAGGAGTTGAAGCACTTTTGTGTCCTTCGACCCCCCAAACCCTCACTCGAAAGCTCGGTAAGAGCAAAAGGGCCGACTGCTAAGAGCTTAAATGATTGCCAGAGTGCGATGACGGACTAGAGATTTTTTAAGCTATAAGAGAAGAGAATTAGAGCGGTATAGAGGTTTAGGGTCAGCCATGTTAGTGAGCCTATTTGCAGTCAGAGCAGTCAGAAAAGAGACAGGTATAAATGTTACCAGAGAGGTGCAGTGCAGAAGAGACAAACATAATGATGAAGGAAGTGGTTTCAGCTTCTTGTCGTCTCCTCCATTACTTTGTCAACCACTGCAGCATCTGTGGGTAATTGCTTTTTTCTGTTGTCTCCAACAAGATAAGGGCTGACAGCAAAACAAGGCCAAAACTGCCGTTTATCCACTGGCGCATCTGGAGAAGGAGAGACGCTTTGTCATTAGTGTAAATCAGCCTGTGTCACGCTGAGGTGGGACTGAAACTGGCTGTCTTCAGGCTGGTCCAAGGCACTCTGCAACACTGTAAGAAATGACCTCAGGTGATAAAAGGAATCAGGAAAGTGCAGCATTAGGTTTGAAATGACAGTCAGATTTCAAACCATCTGTCGGATGGTTTCTTTGGAAATGCATTTCTGATTTCAAGAGAAACTCATCACTGTATGAAATATTTTATAAACAGTTCCTGAAACTGGATGGATGGACAGACGGACGGACGGACGGACGGACGGACGGACGGACGGACGGACGGACGGACGGACGGACGGACGGACGGACGGACGGATGGATGGATGGATGGATGGGTGCTTTTGGGTCCAGCAATTCAAAACAAATTCAGAAACATGTCAGATATGATCCATTTGGTAAAAAGTACAACTCTCAAATAAACAAACAGAAAAGAACTCTGAGACTTTGTGATCTCTGAACTTTTGATTTCTGAAAAAGTGAGTTGAGGATTTTGGATTTATGAAACAGAAAAAGAATCCACAACTAAAATATTCATGAAGTGAATTAAGTAAAATCTCTCATTGTTTATTCCTCACTGAGTCTCATTATTTAAAGTGCAAATTCAAATCAATCTCAGAATGTCATTTATAAAATCCATAAAGCAGAATGCCTTTTTCTCTCCCTAAGAATCACACAGTATTTGTGAAGACTGTGAGCTGAAACAGCAGATTTTGGACAGGTGCTTCTTAGTCTAAAGAAATTTAGACCATCTAGATCTTTTACTAAAGAAACGACTGCAGTTTCAAATGAAGCCTTCAAATCACCAGAAACTTTGTTCACCAAAAGTTAAATAAATGGCTGCGATCGATAAACAAGGACGAATTTAAGTTATATGCTTTTATGTAACGAATGAACTCACAGATAAAACAGGCCGTCAGGTTGCACCCTGCATATATTTACTTCACAAAGGCATATTCATAGAAAACTGGGTGGAAGTAAATACGTCAAGAAAAGGTGCACAAGTAAACAAATTTAAGATGCTTGTCCAGCAAAATCTATCCAAGTATTGAAACTTTACAATTAGAGAACTGAATCCTACACAAGTGTCTCTTCCTGTGCTAAGGAGACAAGGAAGGGATTGAAATGGCTAAAAGCAAACTATTTAGAGTATCTGAACATTCTAATGGAAAGTTTTCTGGTAGGAAAATGCATGATACAAAAAAGTGAATACGCACAGACATCTGCAGCCTTTTGGTTTCTCTGGTCTTAAAGAGTGTTTCAATCTTCTGAGAAAATAAACCGTTGGTTCTCACAAACTTCAAGCCACAATCACTAAAATCAGCAGAAGCAGACACCAGAAATATTTTACTTTGCTAATTTGCAGAAGCAATTCTTGTTTCGGCTTTTATGAGAATAAGACTTTAGTACAGTTAACTTGGTTGTGCTTAAAAGTTGTAGTCATGAAGTAGTCCAAAGGGTAAACAGCTGAGAACTGCGACCATTTCTATTGCGATGGCAACAACTAGATGGCTGCAGAACCATCTAACTATGAGGGATGTGGCTCTTGAACAACAAAAATGCAAACTGCATGACATCACGTCTACTGGGCAAAGGGAGATTTGAGACAATCTACCCAAACAGATAACCCGTATAGTCAGACTGGCAATAAGGAAACACATGTATGGCAAAAAGCCTTATACAAAGGAGGGAGGAAAGAAGAAGTATGGGTTGGTCCTGACAACAGATCAAGACAAGCAAAGAACCCTACAGACGGAGAAGACGACCATGGCCCACAGATAAGCTGAAGACTCAACCTTGCAAAAGGATTCAACCTTTAACCCCTAAGACTACAGTTCCAGATTGGCCATCTCTTGTAAGCCGAGGCTTGAAATGAACACACTCATTTGATTAAACACTTTATTGATCATGGGTGGGACTCTGTGAAGGTCTTGGTGTTAGAGAGTAATCCCAGTTGAATCACGAGTCAGAGCAAGAAAGCTGTGAAGGATTGGCTTAAGAGACTCGGTAAGCTTGGCGTTAAATGAAGGGTAATTTCTTGAA